TGCTGTGGTGCAGTGCAGGGGAACCGTGAGGAGATTAGATTTATTTTTTCGTGTTTTTCTAAATGAGGCTGAGAGGCAGGAAGAAGGGCATCGCCTACTTAATACTAATACTCTGACATTATGTGACTATGTTCTTAGGCCCGGATCCAAATGGTCCTCAGGCTGCGAGAAACCAAAGCTGAAAGCTGAGAACCATCAATCTCTGAAGCTGAGCTCTTTCAGATGCTTTCTGAAAACTGAGTATGCACACGATGTCCAGTGCATCCTGTGATTTCTAAAGGCTGGGGACTCCGGGAATGCACTGATGAAAAGAGATCTCCGGGGAATTGACAAAATTTAGCCTTTGAAACAGAGACTCAGATTTCAGGAATAAAACAAATGATTTTGTTTAGCATAGTCAGAAGAAAGCAAATACTACTTTCATTTTTCGAGTTTTACAAAAATGTATTATGCAAGGAAGAAGAAAGGGTTATAACATTTTTCCAGGGAAGAATTTTCAATTTAATAAAAACAATGTATTTTTAAAATATGATTTCAGGGGCGGACAGTGGTTGCAGCAGTAATGTGATGCTCTGCCAGGCTGATCCACATGGGAAGGTTCTGGGTTTGTGTTCATTGGCCTTCCGGAGCATGCCCGGTAGGTACACACCCATGAACCGGGGCTGACTGAGGCTGGGTGGACTATGGTGTAAGGATCGTGTGAGAGATGCAGCTCTCTCTCTCTCTTTCTCTGACTTCCTTACTCATAGAAGAAAGCAAGCAAGAATTTTTACATACACACACATACATACAGTTTCTGGCTAAATAAAGAATTCCATTAATATCCCTTTAAATTTTGACTGTCTTATTGAACACATCCTCTTAGAATGACAGCTACCATTTTATTCGAACTTAATAGATGTCAGCCACTAAGTACTTTGCAGGCATTATCTTAATCCTTATGATAAACCTACAAGGCAGGAGTACTATTCCCATTTTCTAAATAGGGAGGTTGAAGTTCAGAGAGATAATAATTAGCCCCAAGAATATGTAGTTGGTATGCAGAGTACAACCAGGAGACAGACTCAGATGTGTGATCCTATCAGTATGCTGCCCTACCTCCCAGAATGCATCACTCTAATAGTTCAAGGTCCTTCTCTGGCAAATTGTCAACCAGTGCCTAACTCGGACCCAGGGGAAAGCTTGGGTCCTCTTGATAAATCTAAGGTGACTGACTAACTGGGAGCCCCATTTTAACCATATAGATTAATGAAGAGCAGGACTTAATTGGCTTCCCAAGTATTCAAGGGTGTCAGAATTTGATGAGAAGAAATGACAAGACATGGGGTGATTCTGAATGGTGTCCAGAACATGAACGAGAAAAGGCCAGAAAGAGATATTCACACCAGACTGAACTCAGGCTGAGACAGCGACAGAGGAGAGGTCTGTAATTAGGAACAACTAGTTTCCTTCAGGGAGAGAGGAGCGTCTCTGACAAGCCTTGGTGCCAAGACCAGTATTACCTTATATTAAAAAATAATTGAAGCCGATATAAGGCTTTTGCAGATCCAAATTCACCATGACCAGGGAGAACAGGGGGTGGGGCAAACAACTGGGGCTAGCACCTCATTTTCAGTAGGCTGTGGAAGGAGAAGAAGGTGAAATTCAATATTCCACAAGTTAAAGCTCAGGTCTTGTAGAGAACAAAAGGAAACACACCTAATGGAGTAGGAGAATAAAGGGAATGCTCTGCATTCACAGGGTATTGGGTCCTTCAAAGACCTTTGCAAATAGTAAGGGGAATCCATTTCTGTACACCTGTGGGGCATTATTATTTGCCGGCCACTTTCTGTAGTGAGCCTGGTGGCTGACAATGGAAGAAAGTACCAACAAGATAATTGCATCTCAGCCTTAAAGGGATTAGGCTCCAAAGCCACCTGGGAAGAGAACAACGCCGCAGTGGCTCAGGGCCCCGCGACCAGGGTGCTCTTTTTACCAGTGGGTGGGAAGTTTTCCGTGTGGTCTTATGAAAGACAAGGTCACCTCACCCCTCTACCCCTCTGCAGGATAAAGTTCTGCTGTGACCTATTAACCAATGACATGGGGAAGGTTAACAGAATCAGATACTTGGATAGGATTGAAAGAGAGATGGATATTTTATAAAATGGTCAGTTTGCAGAGAACGAAAACACAATAAAGAGGTGACCTGCAATTGTTTGGGCTTACATACTCTCTAAAATGATCTTTGAACACTTTCTAGTTCCATTAGCATTTTTCAGTTGACGTGTGCGTTTCTTCATCACAAGTTTATATAACTGCAAAGGATTAACTTCCGGCATATTGTAAAATTTGACAATGCAAATGTAACTATTATGAACTATTATCGTTATTATTTATTATGATTTCTAGTGTATAGGTACTCAATGTACATTTTTGTGGGATGCAGCATGATTTTCAAAGCCTATATACAGTCTGTACTCATCAAGGATATATATTTATTCATCTTATTCAAGATGGACCCTTACATTACGTTGTACACATTTGGTAATAGTTCTGCTATATACTTTTCAAAGTATGTTTCAATTTGTCTGTATTTTTCACTCTGCTGGGGTATATTGTTCCATAACCTCTCTTATTTACACTCTCTCATGTATGATAAAATTTATTACCCCAAACTCATACCCCTAAGAACTTCTGCTTGTTTTTGTTTTGTTTTGCCATAGGGCACATGTGTTTGCTGGAAAGGGACAGAAAACGTGAGAAATCAGTCCCACTCCCAGAGGGGTAATCCTTGTAATCCTTCTCTTTTCTGCCCTAGAGATTTTGGGCATGCATGCACATACACCCAGCATGTTTTCCAAATCACCAGGTCCAGATTTGAACAACACAGTCAGCCATGTGGGATCCAGTCACTGTAACTACCATGCCACCAGCTGGCCGGCCACCTTACTCCCTAAACTTTTAAAGGCATCCAACTGAAGTATTTAATACTCGCCATCATCTATTTTTAAAATACAAGAACAAACTTTTCCTTTTTTTCTTACAAGCTAGAGAGAGACAAAGAGACAGAGAGAGGTGAGGAGGGAGGAACCCACCACTTCCAATGGGGCATGGTCATGCTGCAATCCCTTCTCCTCCATTTCTCCATCCTATTGGGAGTAGCAAACACACAGACACACACACACACACACACACACACACACACAAAGTGTTTTTCTTTTTCTTTTTTTGGGAGAGTATTTTGCTATGGGGTACATGCACTCACCAGAAAGACAGAGAGAGAGAGAGAGAGAGAGAGAGAGAGAGAAATCACCCCCCAGGGGAGATGGCCACGCTGCAATCCCTTCTCCTCCATTCTCCTCTTGGGATCTTGGGCACACATGCACACGCACCCGGCATGAGTTTAAGCCACTGGGTTCGGAACTTGAACTGTGGTCAACTATATGGGAGTCCAGTGACATAGCCATTACGCCAACTGCTGGTCCCTGCCCAGAGTATTTTTCAAACCACCAGGGCTGGGATTCAAAGTGCATAACCGGCCACGTGGAATCCAGCTTGCTTTATGT